TAAAAACGAAAATAAGATAAAGTTTAAAGCAAACGAAGATGAAATGTTGTTGGCACGGAAGGCGGCCAGCAGAGATCTGCACACACACCAACTCCAGAAACACCACAGGTATTGGGTTTAGAACAGATCCCCCCCCAAACAAAGCTCACTTTGCAGCACGTGAATTTTCCACGTGTTGGGAATTCGGATGCTGTCACTATCCTTGAGCTGCCAGCAAGCAGGAGGTGCTCCACGGAGATGCCCAAGGTGGTACAACACGGCTTGGATGGACAGCTGGCATCAAGTGATGGGGCTGGAGACTTCCTCCCAAAGGAGAGGAGCTGTCAGGGGCCACTGCACAGCTGGAGATGGTTCTTGCTCAACCGGATTTTCTCTCTCATTTTTCCCCTTCAGAGCGATGCTATCAGCAGGGCTCCACCCAGTGTGCAGACACCACGAGGGCTGTAGCCCCGAGCGCTGCACTGCACCCTTTGGGGTTTGGCACTGCCCTAGGGGCTGCGCAGGGGTGGGAGAGATGGAAACGCCCTGAGAATCCAGAACAAGAGCGGGGAACCATGGCTGTGCCTTCCCCTTTCCATGCAGGGCTTTCATCCACAGCCCTCAACGCTCCAAAGCCACTGTCCTGCTGAGCACTGCCCTGTGAGCCATAGGGATGTACTGTGGGGATGAGCTCACCCAAGCATGCTGTGAGCCACGGGGGGGGTCTCACATGTGCACCCAGCCATGGCTGGCACCCTGAGCCCCCCTTGTGCCCCCACACACTGCAAAGCACGTTCTGCTTCTCGCTGGAATGCTCACTTAAATATTGAAAGCAAAACAAGATGGGGAGGAAACCCGCAGCCAAGGATGCAGGATGTGCGAGGTCAGGGCTACCCCGACACTACGGGGACAGAGAATGGAGGAAAACACCCCGCAGCCCTGACACAGGGGAAAAATCTAGAGGGGCTGACAGGGGAAGGGAGGCTCTGGCCACTGAAGTGCAGCCGCAGAGTGGTTTGGTGACACTGCTTTTCTGCGCTGCGCAGGGGTGCAGGGAGCAGCTGCGGTCAGCCCAGCACCACGAGCACCCCACGTCCCCCCCCAGCACCATGGGGGTGGATCACGTCACAGCACTGAAGAATGGCAGCCTCTCATCTTCTCCCCTGTGGGAGATGCAGTGGGCGACACCAGGGCTGGGGGTGAACTTTGGGATCAGAGCTCAGCTCTGCGTAACGGGCACAAATCCCACGTGGATTGGTCTCTGGCATACCACAGGGAGCTGTGCTGCTGCCTCAGTTTCTCCCCTTTGCTCAAAGCACAGCATCCCCAGAGGTGCTGCAGTGAGCCCAACCCAGGGAGATGCCTCCAGCAACCTCTGCCAGCAGCAATACAAATGTGAGCGGGGTCTGCATGTTCACACGGTTCAAGCACAGCACTATGGGCTCCCCCCCAGGGGAGATTTTCACCCAGCTGAGCTGCTCTCAGCCCTCTTGTTGGCCAAACTGCCAGCACCAGCCTGTGCCAAGAGCCCTTTGTGCATTCAACAAGCACAGGAGCTTCAGTCCAAGCCACGCGGCTCCATCCCGCCTGCCCCAGGGCACTGCAGTGCACTGAGCCTGTCTGGTCCCCAGGGCACCCGCCAAACCCCAGGACCTTCAGGATGGGGGCTCTGCCTCCCAAAGCTGGATGTGTGCCCCAGTCCCTCCCCCCAACACACAGCCTTAGGACCACCATCTCGCAACCACGTTTCCTTGAGAAGAGAAGCCTGGAGTACGACCGAGCCCTTTTGGGACTGCCCCAAATTTGGGTTTTCCAAAGTTTTCCAGCAGCATTTCCAACCCCAAGCAGCATGAAGCTTGTAGGCAGAGCTCATGGCAGCATCAGGAAGCGCAATGCTGCGAACAGAACACCCCACATTTCTCAGCTCATAGCACTTAACCACAAAACTGTCCTTCCTTCCTCTGCAGATACCCACCTATGTCACACAGATGTACACACACAGTTTGTTGCACAGAAGCAAGTACGTGTAAAGTACTCAAGTAGTAGGAGTGCATGTAAAGAACTCAACTGCTGAACCCAACGTGGGGAGGGCAGCCCTAAATCCTGCAGCAAGCAAAGACCGGCGACGATGGGCAATGGAAATGAGGGGTGGAAAGCTGCTGAGCGTTGAGACACGCAGTGGAACAAGCACTGCTTGGGTGTTCCCAGCACCGTGTGGGTGTGCAGAGCCTCTCCTGCAGCCACGTCCCCATTTCGGGCCGGGTGGGAAAACAGCATGGGGTGAATCTGTGCTCAGCTCTGGATTAAGTCACCGTGGGGATGCATTGCTCAGCCTCTGCACGAGGGGCTCGCAGCTGCATGGGCTCTCCAGGAAACTGCTGTGAAACTCGGTGTCTTCGTGAGCTCAGCACCACCATCCCCAACACAGAGCTTGCGAGATGCGTGCTGCACGTGGTGACATCGATGCTTTTGGAGCAAGGTGTGCTCCATTGGGGCTGGGATTGAGGCTCAGCGCCTGTTCTTGGTTTGCTTTGGGATTTTCCTAGATTTCTTCAGCTATTTCTACGCTTCCAGGCGTCTTAAAAAGAAAATGGCACACACAGCCTTCAGCTCTGAGAGCCTTCAAGAGGAACCCAGCCCCTGCAGCCGGGCAGCAGGAGGTGCCATGCAGGTTCCCAGCTCCCCATTACCTGCCCTGGGGGAAGCCCTCAAAAGTAGGAGGAAAAAAAGAGGAGAAGAGGTTTCTCTGAGGGGTTTCACAACACATCTCCCAGGCTCCCGATGCAACACTTCACCATGTTTTGCGTGTTTCTCACTCAGGTCCCTTCTCTGCACTGCAGCCCCAAAACAGCACATCCATCCCTATGAGAACCAGGCCAAGACTTTAAGCAACCAAGCAGAGCTGCAGTGTTTGCAAAGGAAAAAAAAAAAATTAAAATAATTGCTGCCTGTCAGTGAAACCTGGTGGATTTCATCAGTCCTGGAGGCGATAAATGGGCTTTATGAATCTTTCTGAGGACGGACTGAGCTCAGAGCCTTCTAAAAGGTGCTGAAGGGGTGGAGGGAAGGGGAGGTCGGCATTTTGGAGCAGTGATGTGTTACTGCTGGCCCTGAGCACAGAGTAGCTGTCATATTTAGAACTTTCTCCCTCCACCTTCCGACCCTGGGCTGCACAGGAAGAGGCACCATGGGCGCATTGGGGTGAGAAAACAGCCTGAGTTTGGGCTGATAGGTGGGCACAGACAGCATAAGAAACCAAAGCCATGAAAAAAGAATCCAATTTCTCCCCCATTTTCACACCGAAAACACATTTGAACGCTGATTCTTTGCTACCTTCCCCCCCCCACGCACACTTTTTAATGCTTAAAATGGAGGTGAGGCACAGAAGAACTTCAGCGCACTGCATGTGGCACAACAGCACAGCCCTTCACCCCTCAGCACTGAACCACTCCGGGACCCCACGGGCTTGCAGAGCATCCCCAGAACCTCACAGCCTTCCCCAAACCCCCCCAGCTCCCCCAGTTACTCACTTTGAGCTGAGATTTGGACACTTTGCCGCTCTTCTCCACATCCAGAGCGGTGAAGGCGTACCAAATGGACTTGAGCAGCTCAGCTCGCAGGTCCATGGCTTCAAGCGGCGGTGACAGCGGCCGTTCTGTCAACGTTGTGAATCCGGTTTCAGGAAACCGATTGCACCGAGAGCCCCGAGCGGCTCCGGCCGTGCGCGGAGCAGCAGCGCCATCTGCGTGGGGCTGCGCTGCGCTCCGGGCACCGCTGCGCTCCCACCGCCGCCCCGGAGGAACGCAGAGATTGCGAGGAGCGCAGTGAGAGCGCACGGAGGAGGGGCTGGCAGGGATTCGCGACCCTTTGCTGGCTCAGCTTCAGCGTTTGTGCCCACAAGAAGGAAAAGTTTCCTCCTTGCCTAAAATAGCAGCTTCCTCTGCTTGGGCTGAGATGGAGAGCTTCCCCCTCCTCCCCCCCGCAGCAGCAGGGGCTGTTGGAGAGGACGAGGCCCAAGGAAGGGGAGCAGGGCTGCAATGTGCTGCAGGTGGTGGGGATGGTTTGCAACGGCCCACCTTTCCCCACATAAACCTCTTCCTCTGCAGAAGCAAACTTCCGAAGTACGTGGGGCAAATAAACACGTGACTGCTCGCAGCCTCTGCTGCTGCTCTGTGCCATGGATTTATGGGCACAGGTGCTGCTGTTACCCCTGCTGGGCAGAGGATGCCAGCCCAGCTCTGCCCCGAGAAAGATGTCCACTCACAGATGTATTTTCTTGTAGTAAGTGGCATCGCTCCCTAACCTGAAGTTTACAGGAGCCCTCAGAGGAGCCAAGCCCTGATGTGGGACTCGAAGCACTGCTTTTAAGCACCTGAGAAGCCACTTCTCACAGCCCTCAGCACAGTCCTGGGATGATCACAGCTTTGGGAGATCTCTCGGCCAATTCAACAAAACCTCCTGCAGTGCCTTAACCCTGACATCTGGAAAACAATAGAAGCCAACCCCCTCTGCCATCCCCTGCCGCTCCACAACACTGGGTCTGCCAACACAGTTTGCCGCAGTGTGCATCCGTGGGGACGTTGACTTCCAGCATCAGAACACTGCTGCCGCTCCACCACCCAGCCCAGGGCCACCCCCTGATTGGGCTTTATTGCTTTGCTGCCCACTTGCTCGTTAGGCAGAGGAGTTGGCAGAAATGAGGAATGCTGGACCATTTTTAAAGGAAGGGGACAGAAAATGCCTCTCCAAAAAAATTCTGCGTTCCTCGAGTTGAAATCTTTGTATCTGCTTCGTTAGACCAGCAAGGTCTTGGAGATCCTAGGCATGAAGTAAATAGAAGATACCCTGCCATCTCCTCCAGACTATTGGGTGCAGGGGGGCTGATGGACCAACACTTCAGGAGAGGGGGAAGGTAGAAAAGGGGAAAAAAACGTAGGAGGATAGGCCTAACAAAGCCAACACAGTGGCAATTAGCTAAGGGAGAAAAACTAATTTACTAAACATGATACTGTAATGCGAGATACTACAATATAATACAGTATAATTGGAATTGAGGGTAAGAAATAAAATAAAATTAGAAAGTCTGTCCCAAACCAAAGGCCTTACTCTAATGCTGAAGGCGAGACAGCCAGGGAGCACACAATGCACAGATGAGCGGTAAAAGGGGAGGTGTCTCAACTTGCAAACAGTTTTATATTTCCCTCTAAACGGAAAATGGAAACAGAACAGTGAAAATCTTCCAGGAGATGATCTTCTTCTGAGATGCTCTCTGGGAGATGTTCTTCTCTTCTGAGAACCAGGTACCTGGAAATATCAGCAGTCCATGGAACAGCAGCCTTAACCTTAACTCCCAGCACACTACATGATATTATGATGTGAAATACCAATAATTTAAATCATAAAACAATGACAAGAGTCCATAGCAAGGAGCTGCTGCTCTGAGCCAAGGAAAACAGCAGAGCCTCCAGCAGAAGGTAGCAGCTGTCATAGACACTGCTCATGGAGGGAAGAGCCCTTCTGGCATGGCCATCCTGGCAGCCCAACACTGCCAGCATTGGCTCTCACCGCCTGTTTGCTGCACATCACAAGCCAGCTGCTCTCAGACTCCTTCCCTCACTCCTATACTGCTCATCTTCCATGTGCCTGCTGGCCCAGATCCTGCAGATCCTGATGCACCCATGGAGGAACGGGCTTGGCTGCCTGCTCTTCCTGCCTGGGAGGCTCTGCAGGGTCTCAGCAGCCATTCTCAGCCACGGCTGTGTCCAGTGTTACAGGTTCATGCTGGATTGCTGCTGCCGTCGTACTGATGCTGTTCTCCAGGCTCTGCTGCTCTTCAAGCTAGGGAGAAAAGTCAGAGATAACACTGCCCTCCCAGAAAGTGTGCTCAGGAGGGTTGGCCTTGCCCCAGAGGACAGAGGTGTGAGGGACTGACTGGCAGTGGAGCAGAGCAGCAAAGCAGAGACACAACTCTGATGGGGAAAGGCTGCTTATGAAGGAACATTCTGCAACCCAAGCAGGGCATTCATGTTCCCCTCCACATGCAAGGCACATGGGAGTTAAGGAGCAAGCAATCTAGGCAGGAGGAGACGCAAAGCAAGAGGCTGAAGTGGGTGAGTGGATGGGGATGTACACAGCAAAGGTGGCAGGAGCAATGCTCAGTGGTACCTGCACTGCAATGTGAGCACCATTGGTGGCTGCCAACAATGCCACCTGCCGATGGCAGAGGGATGTAATGGCTGACTCTTCAGACATGACCGGCCCAGAGGTGACTATGGTAACCTAGGAAAAGTTAAGACACAAGACAATTGTGTCATAAAAGAAAGTGGGATTCCCTCCCAGTAGGCAGCTCTTCTGCAGGGAAGAGGGAAGGCCTTGCTTCTGCCCATACCGGCTGTGTCTCAGTGCCATCAGCGTTGATCACAGTCATGGTGTGCATGTCACTACCCACGAACTCTTCCTCGGGCACTGCGAGGGCACTGCTTTGCATCACCATGCTGACTGCACTGCCCAGGGCCTGCAGGTCTTCCTGTGACAAGCTGATCTGGACAGGACAAAAGCAGATGCTCTCAGCCAGGCTGGCTTCTCAGGAAGCCTTATACAACACCTGATTTTAGTAACAAAAAGGCTAAAATATTCTCTCCTCCCTCACGGAATCATAGAATTGTGCAAGACCTAAGGCACAGAGAAACTGCAAGGACTTTGCCCAGGATCACAGACAGAATCAATGGAGCCCTCACAGATCCCTGGTCTCTAGCTCACCCCCTTCAACAAGACCTCCTTTTCCATTTAGCATCTTCTCTCTGGGCATAGCTCACGCAGGCAGCTCCTCATGCTAACAGGAAACAAACCTCACTCATGGCAGCTGCTTCCTCTGCCCCAAGCCACAGGTTTTCCCAGTCAGCAGACAGGCAGCTCGTGCAGGGAAGTATGTGCAAGAAAAGCGCTGCTGTTTACAAACTATGGAAAAACAATCTCCAAATCCAGCCTGTGTCAGCAAAGAGTGGGAGCTGCTTTCTGACAGCTGTGCAGGAGGCGAGGGCTGGTGGCACAGCACATAAGCCCAGACAAATGCCTGCAAGACCCTGTCCAGCAAGGCAAGTGGTGACCAGAGGCCTGTGATTTACCCTTCACATCAAGGCTGCAGCGGTGGGATAGGACTGTAAGGGGGGAACCATCATGACAGACAGAGCCCCAGGGTCTGTTTTATACAGAAAAAAAAAAGCCTTTTAGAGAAGACCAAGCTGAGATCCGGCCCCCAAGGGGACATCCTGTTCAGTGGCTTCAGGAAGTGCCTAAAGGGATATAGAAGAAGCTAGGGAGAGGCAGAACATCACTCAGGTAACTGCTCTCCCTCAGGTGCTGGAGGCTGTTAATGTCCATATCTGCTCTGTCTCATCCTGAGAGATAAGTGAGACCTGTGTAGGCATACCATCATCATATTCCTCCTCATCCTTGTCTTTCTCCATCTCTGATGGGAAAGCAACACGCTGTCTCTTCATGGAGCAGCAACTAAGTCAGGGAAAGCAAAGAGTGAAATAGGAGAGAGCAGGAAAGTGCATATCTGACCCTGGGTCATTGAAGGGCCAACAGAGAGGAGCAAAAGATCATAAGAACAGCCCAGTGTTAGTCTGGAGAGAAGGACCTTTGTGTCTCCCTGTACTACACAGCTGGATGCAGTCCACTCTCAGCTGATGACTACAGCTAGGAGGGAGAACTTTGCTCTTGGCTGTGACATGAATCTGGGCTTTATGAGTGAGGTGGAAGCCACAGCACAGACTCAGGTCTGAAGGACAGCAGAAGCACACCCTTGCTCCCTTGCTGCCATCTGTCTCCCCTCTGCCACATGGCATGACACACTGCAAGTGACGTGGAAGTGGTTGCTCACCCTCCAGCTGCTGCTGGACTTCTTCGCTCTCCTGTGTGGCCTCCAGCTCTCTGCGGCCGCTGCACTTGTGTGTGCCCAGCGTAGATCTCTGGCTGTAGGCCTTCCCACAGACCTTGCAGGAGTAGGGCCTGCTGCGTGTGTGCACCACCTGGGGCTTGTAGAGGCTGCAGTACTCTGTGAAGCACTTCCCACAGCCCGGCACAGGGCAGGCATAGAGCTTCTCCCCTAGGGCAGAGGCCACAGTGCAGAGCTTAACCCACTTGGCCTCATCATGCCCTGCAAAGAGATTCTCTAACAAGAGAGAACAGCTGAAAGCAGACCATCAGAACAATCAGCCCAATAAAGCGGTTCCTATTTCTTCTAATTACCTGGCCACCCTGAACACGATCGTTTCAGACCCAAAGATTTCCCAGCTGCCACACATCATCAGTGCAGGCTGGGGAGGAGCTGTTGGTCTTCTCACCTCCTCCCCTGCTTACCTGTGTGAATTCTTAGTGGTTCTTGTAATTGGTGACGCTGGTGAAGCTCCTTCCACACCTGGGCTCTGGACAGGCGTAGGGACGCTCGCCTGTGTGCGTTCAGATGTGAACCCTGAGGATGTGGGAGGTGGTGAAAGAGCGGCCGCAGGACTCAGACGGGCACTTGGAGGGATGCACCTCTGCAGTGACAGTAAAGCTGATGGAGCCCTGCCAGAGCGCAGCCCTGTGAGCTCCCACACACCTCCACAGTACGACACCAGTGCGATCTCACATCAGCCCCAACCAAATGTACATTTCCCCCAGTAAAACCGGCACCCTTGTCCCTTTCACTGAGCTGTTAGCAACTGAGTTGAGAATCCCAAGTGCTGCTTGGGATCAGCTACTGCCCAACTACTTCCATCTGAAGACAACTTCAGCTCTGCCTTGCTTCACCCGAGATACAAGAGGCTGAAGCAGTACTTGATCTTGGAAGCCCTTTCGATGGGGAGCTCAGTTCTCTTATGGTGCTCACCTGTGTGTGTCCGGAGGTGTTTCTGTAGATCACCAGCTCTGAAGGCTTTGCTACATGAGTCTTCTGGGCACTTGAATGGTTTCTCACTAGTATGCATTTTCATGTGGATCTTCTGCCCGTACGCTGCCCAGTAAAGAAACCACAACATTAATTTTACAATGAGAAGGAACTAAGATGGCAAGCTGTGTAACAGCTCTCAGATCACGCACACGTCTATCCTGTGTTCACAAAGCTGAAGGGGAAGAAATATTCAAAGAGCCTCACAACACCCCTGACTACTCAGCTTCTTCTTTTAGCTCCTCTAAGCTGTCTGTAATCAGTTCAGTCCTGAGCAGCCTCCCGTATTGCAATTCCTTATCAAAAGGCTGTGCTTACTGTGCTCTGCTGGAAAGAAGGGCTGATAGGTGATTTTGATAAGACTGAAGACAGAATTTTCACACGAGAGAAACTGTTACCTGTTGCAAATGTCTTCCCACAACTTGGGAAGCGACATGCATATGGCCGGTCACCTGTATGAGAACGTTCATGTGCCTGGAAGAGAAAGCTCAAGTTCCAACCTTGGTGATTCTATGACTCTATGGTAAGGAAAACAGCATGTGGAAATCTAGCAGCTGGAGAGAATCTCGAGTTCTCTGCTGGATTTCATATTGGCCAGTTAACAAACCTCTTTCATGGGACAAAGCCTCTTCTCAGTGATACATTCCCACTTGATTTATTCCAAATTATGGATACTTTTTCCTGGTTCTTCAAGGTTAAAAGCATCTCCTTGAAGTCCTCAGAGAAAAACTCACTGCAGAATGATGCCTCAGTGCCAAAGGGTATCCTGACCTTTCTCTTGAAACACCTGACCTTTTCCAAAGGAGCATTTCCCTCTTCCTTTGTGTAGGAACACTCTGATCTGGCACTAGAACATGGGGGCATACTTGGTCTGCACACCATGACTGCATGTTAGCTGCTTTACCTTCAGATGTTGGGCAGTGGTGTAGATGCGACCACAGCCTGCGTACCCACAGCGGTGTGCTTTATGGGCAGCTCGTATCCTCTTCTCGTTGCTGTGCACTTCCTGCTCCTGCAAATGCTGTCGAGCCAATGAGTGGAAATTAATTCAGCCAGCCACCACAGCAGCTGCCACCGAAGCCCATTCAAATTGTTTCTTTCCTTACCATTCATACACAGTCCTTCAGTTGCCCCACAAAAGTGTGCTTCTACAAACACAGTTTGCACACTTATGGTGCAACACAGATTACAAAGCAAGGCTCTAGAAACCAGCATTTCCCATTCCTAGTTCATATTTCCTACCTTGGAAAACATCTGAGCTGTATCACAGCAGCTCTGCTTTCTCAAATCTGTGCCTGCAGAGTAAAAGGCCCAGCACTCTGTGGGTACTGGCTAGGTGCTGCAGAAGGAACCTGCCACTCTCCAGGCCCTTTTCAGCCACCTGTCAGTGGTGACACCCACAGAAGCCCTGACCAGCTTACCTTCCCAAAGTTGGCTCTACTTTGTGTACTACTTTGTGCACTTCTAATTTGTACATAAGTGCAACTTAAAGGAGACAAATTCCAGGTCAGATGTGAAATACCACAGTCCCTCAGTGCTGCTGGAAGACCATTAAGGAAACAATTGCATCTTCACCTTGTTGGCATACTGCTTTAATGCATTAATGGTCCTGACATCAAAGGCATCATCTTTCTCCTCTTGCCTTGTTTCTGCCTGCACTTCCATGTGTCAGGGAGCACGATGGCAGAATGGCTGTTGGTGGTGGAGCCACCCTCTGGCTGGACAGCCTCTGAAGTGCTGGAATCAAAACCTTCTGCAAGAGAAATAGACAAAATCAAACACAGCAGAGCTGCTGAGTGTAAATCACTCTTCACCTCCCCAGGCTACCTCCAGCCTTGGAAATCTGCAACACTTCAGCAGCTTTTGCCCCAGCTGCCAAGGAAAGAATGGGGAATATTCTTTACCTTTAGGTATGTAGGCCATACCCCTGTCTTCCGAAACTACTGGCTGTCCATCTTCAAAAGCTACAAAATCTGAAAGAAGGAGAAAAAAATTCCAAGCACATGACTGGAAGACTCAGATGGGATGGAGGGGCATTACATCCTGAGCACTGCAGTGTTCATAGCCAGAGAAGCACACGGGGCAGGGCAGCCTGCTTGTGCTCAAAGTCAACCACAACTGTAGTTTTAAGACACCACCTGAGCCCCTCATCCCTGTCCACATCAAGGTTTTTAATGTTTTATGAATAATTTTATGGCAGTCTTTGGCTCTTTGAGGTAATGCTCACGTCTTACACCATGTCCCAGATGTACAACCATGGTGACACAGCTTCCAACAATCTCTACCCTCCCTCCTCAAAACATCTTCCCCCTCAAACATCTAATCCAGGAATAATATATTATCTCATGGTTCACAGAAACTCCTGTCCAACTGCTCCTAGGTAAAACAAAACGTGTTTGGGCTCTGCAGTCAGCAAAACCACAGCACACAGATTACTGGCCTGGCTTGTAGATTTGTTATCTATCAAACTGACAATATGTGTGAGTCCACAGGTGAAACATATCACAAACTTTGGCAAATTTAGCTTCTTGTCACATTGCTAAGAACTCTTCAGGAAACCACATGTTCTTTGTCCTTGTTCATTCAGCTGGACAAGGAAACCCTATCTCAGATGGGCTCAAAGCTACAGCACAACTGTGAAGACACAGATGGTTTCAGTCCCACCAGCATCCTTCTAAAGAAAGGTGAATGTATGGTTCTCACCTTTCTGAACTACCACTGGATGGATGTACGCTGTTTTCGTCTTCAGTTTCAGTGACTTGCTCTTCAATTACCTTTTCACCCGACACAGTTAAAAAGAATGCTATTAGCACTGCCCTCAAAGTCCACACTGCCTAATGAGCTGTCCCCTTCCTTTGTTGCACCTTCTCAAGGAATACAGCCATGCAGAAAGCACAACTGTCATTTGAATGCTGCTGTTAATCAAGCTTTCCCTCAAACAGCCATAGAAACACTTATCTCCCCAGAAAAGCTGGATCCTCCCTTTCCTAAGCAGGAGGGTAAAAGGCAAAGAATCTCAGTTATCACTTATTTACAATCACTTGTTTGAAGCAGAAAGAACAACGTGTGCAAAGTACTTTGGCTTTAAAATAGAAAGCAATTACATTCTGCTGGTGAAAACTCAATTGGGAGCTTTTAATGGCACCAGCAGGGCCTGAAAATGTATTTTCTTCAACATGGTTGGGGATCAACACTTGAAAAAGTTTTGGCTTGAAAGGATCTAAAGCATTACTTGCTTTGATGAGCTGTGAAGAGTGGACTCTTAAAAATAGTGAAAGTATGACTTATTCTGCAACAATATTTTAGTTACTTAATTATTTGATGCAGAGAGGATGTTGCTCCATCCTCCTCAAACTTAAATTGCTTTCAACTCATGCAGTGTTTGCAGGGAGAAGTCACAAAACTTAGTGGTTTTCAGCTTCACAAATTTAATAAACTTGCAGTGAGTTTATACAGAAAAGTAAGTGAAACAGCAATGACCAGGAGATGGAACTCTTGCAGAGCGCACTCTGTAGGCTGGGAGGAGGCACAGTGCTTGGGAACAGCAGGTGGTGAAGAAAGGAGCACGCGCTCCAGCACACCCCAGAAAAAGGACAGGAATTGCATTTTAACCAACACTGAGCTCAGCATCCTTTTGAGTGAGAAAAGCTTTATTGGGAACCAGATGCTACGCACTTCAGTGAGGTCAAACATTCTGCTTAGCTTCAGGGGAAGTTTTGCCCACAGAACATACAGGGAACTCCATTTTTCCAGTCTGGACAGAACCTTCATTTTCTACTGCAACAGCTCTCCTATCACCAAAGCTTTATTTCTAAAGCAGAGATATTTTATTCGTGGATGCATCTCCTATGTGAGGAAAGGCTGAGAGACGTGAGGCCTTTCAACCTGGAGAAGGCTCAGAGGTGACCTCAATGTTTGCAAAGATCTGAAGTGCAGAAGTCCGGATAGGGCTGGGCTCTTTGCAGCAACAGGACGAGGGGCAGTGGGCAAAAACTGCGATGCAGAAAGTTCCATACAAATGTGCAAAAGAACTTCTTCACTGGGAGGGCGGCGGAGCATTGGAACAGGCTGTGGAGTCATCTTCTCTGCAGACCTTTTGAGACCTGCCTGGATGCTTTCCTGTGCAACCAGCTGTCAGGAACCTCCTTTGGCAGAGAGGTTGGACTCAATCTCCAGAGGCCCCTTCCAACCTCTCTGATTCCTGCACAGTCTTCTGTGCCAATCTAAGACAGTCGGAAGCATCCTATACAAGATCCACGGCGATCTCACGCCTTATCTCCAACCTCATGGGGTTCTGAAGAGACTTTGAGACCTCACAGCCCAAAGACTCCTTTACCTTTGGCAACCTGCTGCTCGGAGGCTGTTGTCCCATCGCTAAGGGTCACTGCCTGCAAGCTCTCCATCACGGCCTGGCAGCCTCACACGCGACCCTCACACACAACGCACCGCCGCCACAGCCGCTCCCCGCGCAATATCCAGGTTCTGGGGCCTCTTTCCGGAAGTTGTGGAGAGGCCGGGTTCAGACACGTGAGCTCTCCCGGCTCCCTTCCGCCACTTCCTGACCTCACTGCCACACCGCGCCACTCCCAGCATGGCGCTGAGGAAAGCTCGCGAGATCTCAGCCGTACTTATAAAGCGCGGATCGCCCCGCCCCGCCCTCTCCGCCTGAACCGCCGCCATGAGGTGGGTGCCGGAGCGCGGCGTTATCCATCGCCATCCGCGGCCCGGCCGCCGGGCAGGGTGTGGGTCACCGGGTCCGATGGCGGGGAAGGGGTGGGCGGTGGGGGAGAGCGCGGATGGAGTTCGGGCCGGGCTGGGTTTCGTTGTTGGGCCCGGTCCCCGTTCCGCGGCCTGCGCTGGGCCCGCGCCTGAGCCTGTCTTCTGTTTCCCCCCGCAGCAGCAAAGTGTCCCGCGACACGCTGTACGAGGCGGTGAAGGAGGTGCTGCAGGGCAGCAAGACCAAGAAGCGCAAGTACGAGCCCTGCCCTGTGCCCGGCTGAGGCCTCGCGCCCCGTGCAGGGCCTGACCTGGACTCTTCCCTCAGGTTTGTGGAGACGGTGGAGCTGCAGATCAGCCTGAAGAATTACGACCCGCAGAAAGACAAGCGGTTCTCCGGCACCGTCAGGTTCGGCATCCTCTTGCTCACACCCAGCCTTCAGCCCGCGGCCCTCAGCCGAGGGTGGCTTCCCTGCTGCAGGCCGTGCTGCTGAACGCCCCGGGTAGTTCAGACTGTCACCCCCGAGCGGGTGCGGCTGGACGGACCCCCACCCTGGGTCTTAAAACAAGAGGGGAGGTGTGGGGTGCTGCCCCCGCCGCCCTGCCCCAGAGGCAGGTTCTGAGCGTGGAGGAAGATGTGAGGAGCTGCGGTAAGGTATCTGCATGCGGGTCCCTCTGAGCTGCGTGGCATCCGTGGCACACCGGGTAAAATTTGGGCTCTGTCTGCAGGCTGAAGTCGACCCCACGGCCCAAATTCTCTGTCTGCTTGCTGGGGGATCAGCAGCACTGCGATGAGGCCAAAGCGGTGGAAATCCCTCACATGGACATAGAGGCTCTGAAGAAGCTCAACAAAAATAAGAAGCTGGTGAAGAAGCTGGGTGAGCGGGGTGTGGGTTGGTCTCTGGGTGCCATGGCTGAGCCTGTGACAGCAGATTTCCCCATGCTCGCATTCCCATGTCAGGATTAGCGGCAGAGAACAGAAAACTGATTACTCTTGAAGAGTAGGATTCTATCTAGGAGCTACCCAGCAAACCTTAGGGCCTCGTACAGTGTGAAATGCCTGGCAGGGCAGTGCTGTAGGAGTGCAATGATTGCCCTCTTCCAGGAGGAGGGCATACAGGAGAGCTGTTCCATCTCCTTGAGAAGTTATCTTCCCTCCTTCAGCATGCCATGACTTTCAGGGAAAGAAAGTGCAACAAAGCCAAGTAGAATTAGAGGTGAAACTTGCTCTAATCCTGCCATACTGCAGTGAACAGGATGGAGTTGGGTTACTTTTACTTATAGCAGATAAAACCTTTCCTACAGAATGAAAGTCATTTTGATAAGTATCTTGAGCAGACAAGGAAAGCTTACCATTCAGTCCTTGGAAGCATAGGAGGTTGGAAAACAACGTAGAATATGGTTACTGTAACCTAAGCCTCTCTCAGGTCTGTGGCATCATAGAATCATCATCATGGGAATGGCCTGGGTTGAAAAGGACCACAATGATCACCTCGTTTCAACCCCCTGCTGTGTGCAGGGTCACCAACCACCAAACCAGGCTGTCCAGAGCCACATCCAGCCTGGCCTGAATGCCTGCAGGGATGGGGCATCCACACTCTTCACATATGAACAGAATACAGAAGGAGAATTCTAGTAGAGCTCCAAGTGTCCGTAATGCAGCTGGATAAATGCTGTGCATTTCAGGGAAGTCCTCTGTACAGTTAATGGGATTGCTGCCAGGATGTCAGGCTCTGAGTCCTGGAGGAGTTTGGCCGGCGTGACAAGAATGGCTTATAATGCAGTATGAGGGAAACGCAGGGCTTTGGAACATGGAAATGTTTGCACAGGGGGACGTGCAGCAGTGCAGTCTCACCCGAGCTGTTGGTTTCAAGCTCTGGGTTAGAGCTGAGAGCGCTTCCTTACCTGCTTTTGTTCTCACAGCTAAGAAGTATGATGCCTTCCTGGCTTCAGAGTCCTTGATCAAGCAGATTCCTCGAATCCTGGGTCCAGGTCTGAACAAAGCTGGCAAATTCCCTTCTCTCCTCACTCACAATGAGAACCTGGTGGCCAAGGTTGATGAGGTCAAATCTACCATCAAGTTTCAGATGAAGAAGGTAAAGAGCTCAGGGCTTCCAGTTGGCAGCCGCTCACCTGGGGGGCGGTGGGTGATTGGTGTCCCTTGGTTGTGGCTGCGATCCCTGGGCTGGTCTGTAGGTGTCCCCCAGTGTCTTCAGCAGCTCCTGGTGAGGAGCATCCAGCGTTGTGCTGGGCAGCAAAGCAGCGCAGTCACCATTCAGCTAAGTGGAAAAGAACGATTGATCTGCGGTTAGAAGAGCTTAGAAAAGCGATGAGGAGATGATGCTGATGTCTGAGCGCTGAGCACAATTGGTCACAATTAACACCTCCGGGAAGTGGGTGACTGCAGGGTGCGGCTCTGGAGCCGGGCGCCCCGGTGGCTTTGTGCTCACTGCTGTGCTTTGGCAGAAGCACGTTTGGGACTTGACTCTGCAAGTGAACTTTGCAGCAGCTCTGTGGATGTCTGCGCCTGTCGAGAGATGCCGAGGCAAGCCAGCGCCCTCAAACCAAAATAACCCTGCTCAGGCATTTTAATCTCGTGACAGTGGTCTAAATGTGACTCCTGGGTATTATTCAGAATTAGCAGCTCTGCTAGCTGAGGTGCATCCTCAGACGCCAGCTGATGTGAGCCTGAAGGCACAGCTGGGAGGACGCAGTAAATGCAATAGTTTGCAAATGCTTCAGCATTTAAAGTAACAGAGCTAATGATGTCCTGACGCTTCTCTCGTCAGTTTGCTCGTAAATCCTTTTGTCTTCAGCCCGTGGGGAACGTTGACTTACAAGCTCCTCTGCAAGGCTAGCAGGCAAAGGCTTGGCCCATGTGTATTATGTGCAGAAAGAAAGGGCTGGTGGCTGGTGCCAAAACAAAAAGTGAAGCTGGCGCCATGCGTAGCAGTGAAGTTTGGAGCTGATAGGCTGTGCTGCTGGGTTAGCAGTGTGCAGGAAACGTGCCAGCGCTGCCTGGTGAGTCAGGCATGGGATTAGTTACACGAGAGCTCTGCTGCTTCCCTACCAGTTCAGAGCGGCGCTTTGCACGTCCCTCCCAGCTTCAGGAGATGGCTGCTTGCTGCCTTCACTGCGCCACCTTCGCGCTGTGAGGAAGCCAGACCTGTGCCAGCTGTTGCTCAGATTGCACCCAGATGCTGCCAGACATCCATGGGAGCCACGTGCCAGACAGCGAGCTGTGTAGAAGCACTTTGCCATGGATGGGCTGGAGAAGTTAGCTGCAGGGACAGGCCGTGGGGGGGATCCCTGGGTGCTCTGGTTGTTCTGTCAGCCCATAGGTGACCGTGGTGTCCTTGTCCCCAGGTGCTCTGTCTGGCTGTGGCTGTCGGTCACGTGAAGATGACAGAGGATGAACTTGTCTACAACATCCACCTGGCCATCAACTTCCTGGTGTCCTTGCTGAAGAAGAACTGGCAGAACGTGCGTGCTTTGTATATCAAGAGCACCATGGGGAAGCCCCAGCGTCTGTACTAACTGGGTGGCAATAAACTTTTAGGACATCTTACAGCTGTGTGGTTGCATTCCTCCAAAGCTTATTGGGCAAGACTTTCTGAAGAGCTGCTCGCTTCCTTGCAGTGAGGAAGGTTTTAAATGCTGTTAAATTGAAAGAGGCGTGAATTCAGGGGAAGCATCAGCCTTACATTTGCGTTTGAGCTTCCTGAGTCACACAAGCTGATTTCTTGTGAAGTAGACAAGCTTGTCACCCTGCATTCAGAGCAGGAGGGGGGAACCACTCAGCAGCTAGCACGAGCAAAATTGGGGTGCTTACCTCAAAACTAAGGAAGGGCTCAGTGCCCAAAACAGCTCCTGCACACAGCAGTCATCTTACAGCCCAGGGCTCCCTTCTGCCATCCCAGGAACAGCATCCTGCCGGCTCTCAGGGTGGGGGTTTATGGGGCATTTGCATTTTATAGGGTTCTGCTGCCCTTAAGGTGACCAATGGCTGCAGGAGGGGCTGCACAGCAGCAGCTCATGAGGACTTGATGGGTCTTTCAGCTGGCTCCAGTTACATCGGGATTTGGAAGGTGCTGGGGGTAAGGGGGGGGAGTTGCAGCTCAGTGAGGGGTTCCTCGTTGGCTCTGCTTTGCTCTGCAGAGAAGCATGGAGTAGTTGCTGTTCAACTCAATGTTCTGGGCTAAAAGTGAGATATGTTGCATCTAATTAATGTATATAAATAAATGCATTGTGTAATGACTGCAGAGCCTATGGAAATCTGTAGGATTTAAGCTGGAAGCAAAGCTCTACGCCCTCAAAAAGAGCTTGTCTGAGCATCTGAAGAACAAAACAATGAAAATAGCTTTGGACCCCGCTGTTAGAAACCTTTTAAAACAAGCAGCAGAGCCAGCTTCTGAAAGATCAACACAACACCAAGAAATTCCATTTAATAATTAAAAAAAGACAATACAAAATGCAAACATTTCTTTTTACAAAGTTCAGATACATTTTTCTCTTTAATCAAGTGCAAATAACTTTATGAACTACATCTTTCTCATCAATCACTTTGCTGGAGATGGTAAAACACGGCCTGCTGCAAAAGGCAGATATAAATATTCCAACATGAAAAAAAGAATCCCCTCTCCCTCCCCCCCCCCC